AACTGTATTTTGTTCTCATATAATTATTATAATAATGATAACAGTTAAAGTGTCAACTGTATTTTGTTCGCATATAATTATTATAATAATGATAACAGTTAAAGTGTGAACTGTAATTTGCAGATTTATTGGTATTCTCCTGTTATAAAAATCAGACAATTTGTCTCTTACAGTCTATACATTTAATTGTCAATAATAAAACCGCATTCTAACTTTGATTTGTCGGGATAAATCATATATAAAAAACATAAAATCGTATGAATTCGGAACTTGCGTTTAAAACAAAATAATTCCATGACCTCATTTACTGCTACGTTTCTAGAAGAAAGGTTATGTGTTAGATTTTACAATAGAAGCAACGAGATTAGCAATTAAAGGTTGCTATAGGAACGTTCTGAAGACTTGGTAGTAAAGATATTTACTTATAGTGATAGCGGTAGTTTTCTAACCTTATTTTGATCTAGTAATTTTTCTATGTTGTAATTTATTGATGAATATAAATAGATGTAAAAGCCTAATCATGGCTTGTGCAGATTTCAACACTTATTCAACTCTAGTAACAGCAGCCAAAACGAACAACAACAAAATAGTCATGTTTCTGCTAGTTGACTCTTCCTTCAATGTCCCTAAAGTGTTGCACGTATTAAAAATTAAATAACTGTTTGATGATGACAAGGATTCAAAGATCAAAGCTTTAAGTGCGCGTTTACTGTAATGTAGTTTTAAGTTTAAGATGAAACTTCATTATCCTTACTTTAAAAACTTTATACAATACCAATGTATGATCTCTGACATTTGATTATTCTTACTTATTGAGATTCATATTTTTTCAAACCGAATCTTGTATGTTTTTTTTCCCCCCTTTTTCACAACGAATTTTTAATTTGCTTTGCTGAGCGATGTTCATAAAATAATGTCACTTCAAAAGCATAGTTTCTTGACTGTAATGTTATCAATACCCTAGTATGGATTATACACAAAAGAGTGTTTTTTATCGATTATCCTGTTTTTCTTTTGGTGTAACGTTTAAGTTTATCCGAATAAGTGTCTTATTTTGGTTTTTCACATTCGTAACATTTACTACGTAAGAGATTTCGACGTTTCCAAATATACATTACAAACCCAAGAAAATTGATATCATTACTGAATAAAACGGTTTGATTTGATTGTAGTTAAGTACAAAGCTACATAATGGGCTATCTGAGTTCTGCCCACCACACCACTGGTATCATTATATTCACAGAAATACACACGTTATCAAGAAAGAAAAAAGCAGTTACGCCAATTCAACGGACAAGGTAATACAGAGTGACTTAAACATTTGAGAAATACATTTTAAATTGCTTTTGAAATATTGATAGTACTAATAAGCAAGGTGATTTTTACAAATGTTTGTATGGAAATGTTTTGTCGAGTGTGAGACAGCACAGTACAAACGCTTCTGACACGGCGAAGCTACATTATCTGCGCTATATGTGATACACGCTGGGAGAGCAGTAACTCTACGAATTTAGAACGCTAAAATCAGGGGTTCGATTCCCCTCGGTGAACACAACAGACAAACACACAAAGTGATGTATGTTTACTTCGCAAAAGCCGCCTGGGAACCCATTATTGTAGATAAAGTTTAAAGTTTTAAATTTCACGAAGGCTTGGCATGGACAAGTGGCTAGGGCACTCGACTTGCAATCTACGGGTCGCAGGTTCGAATTCCCGTCACACCAAACATGCTCGCCCTTTCAGCCGTGGGGGCGTTATAATGTGACGGTCAATCCCAGTATTCGTCAGTAAAAGAGTAGCCCAAGAGTTAGCGGTGGGTGGTGATGACTAGTTGCCTTCCCTCTAGTATTTCACTGTGAAAATAGAGACGGCTAGCGCAGATAGCCCTCGTGTAGCTTTGCGCGAAATTCTAAACAAAGAAAGAAGATTTTAGAAGTTCTTTCGTTAAAATACTGACCCGAAAATTTTAGACGACAACTTCCATTTTAAAATATGAAAACAAAAACTCATTTTTCAGACACAGAAAGTCGTTCGACTGAACTTACAAAATTCACAATAGCAGAAATAACAATAAATTACGTTTTGCAAATTCAAAGACAATGACTTACTTTCCGTAGAGCTATTTTCAGTGTTGTTTGTTTGATTTTAAGCGTAAACTCTGTATGCGTTGTTTCTATCTCGAATTTTCGCGCAATAAACATTCAAGCTTATTGTCGAGCCAGTCACTGGGAGGTTTACAGTTTTGTAAATTAACTACAACTGTTCTCGTATTATTTTGTTGAATGTTTAGTTGTGGTGAAAAAGAGCTCTTTTACTTTATTTATAAACAGAAATTTCAACAATAATTACTGTGACCTGTACAAGATTGGTGAGGCTTGTTAAAAATAGTGTGCAATTTTGTGGAGCCAGTCACCGGGAGGTTTACAGTTTTGTAGATTAACTACAACTGTTCTCGTATTATTCTCAATGCCTTAACCCTCTGTGGCAACATGACTACAAATTATCCACGAAAGGAGACTGCATCTAAGAACTGAAAGGTTAACTCTTCTTGTGTTTTCCATATAAAGTTCTTTACTCACATTGAATGCCGATTTCATGAAGATTTTTCTGGTTCTATAAAAAAAAATGTAACTATAAATACGATTGTTTATTTAACAGATGTGTGTCAGAGCAGGAAATCAGTTTTGTTTTCAACTTCTGACGGACCTTGATGGAGAACGTAAAGTTTTGATATGATGAAGTTTCACGTGCTCGGAATGAAAGGCACGTATAAAGATGCACCTGCGTCGTAAAAGCTAGTGTCAACTTAACTGTTGGTAAAACTAATGTCATTTTCAAATCGCTCTCTTCATCCGCTTGTTGTCATTGTAGTTTACTGCGAGACCGTTAGGAAATTCCCTTCCACTGGAAAAACAAATCGTATGTCAAATTATAATCACAAGTACTAAATGATAAAATAATTCTCGAACTTTCTGTGTATATTAAACAAATATTCACCTTCAACACCAGTTTGTTTTTCTGGATATTTCTATAACAGATGTTACCTTAATAACTGCAGAGTGAGATAAGTGCCGTTTTTTTAATCTAGTTATAAATTCGTGCTGTTAGGATTTTCTGGATAAATGACGGCACCAGTTTAAATTAATTTGAAAGAATCTTGATTTGAATGATTTGGGAAAACATAAAAAGTCGTTGCTGATGCGCCATTAATATGTTCTTCCATCATAAAGGAATTCCTCATCCTAAATACCACAGTCGCCTCGAACTATATAACCAGAGAGTACAAAATGAATGTTAAATCTACCAAGTAAACCTTGATTAACTAGTAACTAATCTGTAGTCCACCAAATAAACTCTAATTAACTAGTCAATGAGTTGTGTAGTTCACCAAGTAAACCGTGATTAACTAGTAAATAATTTGTAGTCCACTAAGTAAACATTGACTAACCAGCAAATAATCTGTAGTCCACCAAGTAAACCCTGATTAATTAGTAAATAATTTGTAGTCCACCAAGTAAACCTTGATTAACTAGTAAATAATTTGTAGTCCACTAAGTAAACCTTAATTAACTAGTAAATAATCTGTAGTCCAACAGGTAAACATTAACTAACCAGCAAATAAACTGTAGTCCACCAAGTAAACCTTGATTAACTAGTAAATAGCCAAGTTCTTTTGAAGTGTTATTAATTTGACGATAAACAAATAAATAAACAACATTTAGGTGCGATAGCGTTTAAGGTAGAGATTTACGAGTTTGGAAAAATTTCCCTCTCTCTCTGTCTTAAAAGCATTTTTGTGCTAGTGAAGTGATTTACAGAAAGTAATGCCAGCGTGAAGTATTTCTAAAAGTTATTTTGCAGTGTTACAAATTATATGATACACAAACAAATAATGTATCTTTAATAAAGTACCAGAGAAATGCAACATTTGATTTACTTTAACTGAAGAGAAATGTTTTAATTTTTAAATTCAAACCTTGGTGGTTGTCCATGGCTTATTACCATGACATCTGAGAGCAATTTGATTCTCTGATACTGTTTGATGGGCGCACATTTCCTAAACATAACTTAAAATTATGCACATACATTTGAGTAGTAAGTGTAAGACATGATTTAAAATCAAATAACAGTTCAGTTCTCGATATTCAGTGTTTCGATACCCGTGGTGGGCAGAGCACAGATAGCCCATTGTGTAGCTTTGTGCTTAATTACAAACAAAGAAACAAACAATATTCAGTCTACCTCTGTTCTTTGTCAAAATAATAGATACAAGCCTACAAGTTGAAAAACATATCCGGATCTGCTTTATTAAGTGCCGAGCTAAACGAAAATAACAATAAATAGTGTTGTCTAACAGGTGTACTTAACTGATAAGTTATGTAGAGAACAAGGACACATAACTTTGTCTAACAGCTGGACTTAACTGATAAGTTATGTAGAGAACAAGGACACATAACTTTGTCTAACAGCTGGACTTAACTGATAAGTTTCGTACTTTTAGATACATTGTACTTTAACAACTTCTTGTAGGAAAGCAAATTCCAACCAAAGAGTTTGTAATTAATGTCGCCGAAGCTCTAATTAGACATTGTACCATAGATGTTGGCATTAATATAGCGAGACTTTCTTTTACAGTTTATAAACATTGTCGTAACACATGACACATTTTATTCCCCAGTTTTATCAATTCAAATTAATCTCCACCTTTACACATGCGTTCCAAAAGGGTGTGAAAAATAGAAATGATACAACAGTTTTATTGAAACACCCATTTTTGTTAACAATAAGACTTTGGTTAAAGCAGCAAACACAAAAATGTATACGTCTAAGCATTAAGAACATACTCTTCGAGACTTTAGTTGTGATTTCAGATCTCGTATTCAATAGCAAATATTTTCTGATTTAAATACCTGTTAATCGTTAACAAAATCATTGCTTAGATAATACAGAGCTTTAAAATTACATTTGTGAAACATACTTTAACAATACTGTATAGAACTTTTTCGTTCGAGGACCACTTCGGCGGAGCAAAAGACCCGTCTGACCACTTACTGGTCGCCACCGAAAAAAAAACTAACTCGCCAGACTTAACGGGGAGGATGGCGCTGATTTTGATGTGAATTGCATTGCCCGTGGACCACACTTTGAGAACCATGGTATAGATGGCCGTATGATAATGCTACGAAGATGCTAACAAATCCTATCTTTCACTAATTAGATGTTCTTAATTATTATTAGTATAGATTCGCATGTTTATACTCATGATATACCCAAAAAATTGACACTAAACATGTGTTTATTTAACATTATTAATGTGTTATGAAAGGTTCTTTAAATCTGTGACGCTCATTAATACGAAATTAGATAAATAAAAATGTGATTCAGTCACTAATATATGAAAAATAAGAGGAAAATATAATTTGGAGTTAAGTTAAAAACAAAGAAAATCAGATAAAATATAAGGATGAAAATAAAAGTAAACTGAGATGTTTTCACTTTTTACCCGTTTTTAATTGGTTTGATTTAATGTGTCAGGAGATATGTGGAAGTCAGAGAAACGTTATAACTTCGCTACCTTTTTTTTGCTATCTGTTTAAGAAGTTTTTAATTGGTTTGATTTAATGTGTCAGGAGATATGTGGAAGTCAGAGCAACGTTATAACTTCGCTACCTTTTTTTTGCTTTGTGTTTAAGAAGTTTTTAATTGGTTTGATTTAAT